GGTTGTTGATTAAGCTTTGTAATAACGATCATTTTTTAGTGCCTACTCTGTGCCTGTCTCATTGCACACTTTCATGTGAGGCAAACATTTCTATCCTCATCTTTCAGATCAGAAAACAGTCACAGAGAGATGTTACAGTGCAGGCACGGGTCTGTCTGGTGGTCAAGCCTGCACATTTTCCTCCATTCCCCCTCCTCACACAGACTGCTTCCCCAGTGCTCAATGTTCCATCCTGCCACAAGCGGAGGAGAGAATGGAATGGGAAGAATAGGCAAGAACAGACAGGAGAAGGTAAAGGTTGCTGTTTTTCCCTTTCAATATGGTATATGGTTTTGCTTTTATAATTAACATTCTGCTGAGGAGAACTCCCACTGGTGAAGGCTGAGGAGTCAGGTTTTCCATGAAGAGCAAGCACTGCAGGAAATAAATTAATCTCTAGGGAAGATAAGGGGTGAGGTTGTCAGTTCTCACACAACTGCCTAATAGGAAATGATATTTCAGAATTGTTCAAAGAAGGATGTGACTGCAGGTTCTCCTTCCGGCACACTCTCAACCATTTCAACCCTCTGAGAAGAGGGAAATAGGTTCTATAAAATGAAGAGCAATCTCATAACGTTTTACTTCAGGCAGTCAGTAGTTCCAGACTGAGATGGTATTCCCTAGAAATGTAAGGGAAATTCTACCAGTGTCATTATTTTGTTTATATTATGAAAACACTGCATTGATGTTAAATAGAAGGATAAAAAATACACCGGATTTTTGAATTACTAGTTTAAAATGATCCAATATTTTAAATAACAGGTTTTCTGGTCTTTGGAGTAAAAAGTAGTAATTGCTCTCAATATTGCACACTACCAGAATAACATTAATTGCTAAAGTGTTTCTTTATTAAAATTGAGAGACAAAATTATATTTTATGATATCTAAAAGCACCTACCTCTTTATAGCATACATTTAGTCAGTCTTTAATACAGAATCCTCATTTTGTCTAATTCTCAAAATAATCCTGATCTAGAACTGCCTTATGTTTTGTTTCCCATATAGAAGTAAAATCTGAAGTTTAACATTAAGATTAATTCAAAACTCAATAGGAAAGCTTCTTTAGTTTCTTATAGATCCATTATTTATTTCTAACTTCTACGTTGACTTCAATTAAGAGTTTTCCCATGGAGCTTTGTTCCTTTTATCTGTTTTGTTTACCAAAGTGAGTGTGTTCCTAAATGTGGGGACCATTTCCATGAGTCTTCCTTAGAGAGGAGGGACAGCTGCATCACTCTATGGTATCAGAATAGGCTGTAGAATCAACACTTTCAGAATTGACAGGACATAAAAATCACCTGGCACACCTTCTATTTTGGTAAGGAAAATGTAACTGAGAAAAGTGAAATATGTTGTGGAAGGCTCCATGTCCAGTTTGTGCAGAGCTGGGACTAGACCTTAGGGTGCCTGTGTTTTATTTTCTCTCCTAGGGTTCTCACTACTGGAAAAGTCTAATTTATGGAGGGTGAGTCTTGGGCTTCGCTTAAAGATGTAGGAATAATTAGAACATAGTTGAAGTTTCAAAAGAAAGGAAATTTCATTAAAGAACATTGATTAAGAGGGTATACAATTTGTTTAGTAGAGAACACTTATGTAGGGCATAACCAAATAGGCATACTTTAAAATATTATCCTTTCTGGTAAAGACTGGGATTTCTAAAGAGACAATATAAGATGGTGGTGGGGGTGTGGGGGTGACAGACTCCTGTTTAGCCAGTTGGATTACCAGAAGCAATTACTGCACTTAGCGGGTGTCCTACATAATAATCACATGCTCTTCACGACTTAATGATACTCCTCTGATACCATATGACTGCCTTTGGCTGGAGGAAGCCACCTTGCCCACAGCCATGACCCACAGCCATGACCCTTCCACAAGGGCGTCTGCATCCAATGATTGATTGATTCTGGACCGTGAAGGCCTGGCCGGGCAGTTCTGAAGAGCGGTGCCAGCTCCAGAGCTCCTGGTGGGGTCAGCCGAAGGCTTTCTTGTGACTTCACTATGTTTACCTTGTCCCTCTGCCCAGACCTGCCTTTGTTCCTCTGCCTTATGAGCTGTCCCTGCGAGCCTTCTCAACACATTTTCCCAAGCAAGTTTACCCTGGGAAGGGGCCATGCAACCAACTGCTTAAAACAAGCATTGGCACTTAACACATGACTCCCACCAAGAATAGCCCAGGTGAGGCCCGGTGATCCTGCTGCAGAGGTAAGATGGGAAAGGGGTCCTTTAGGGAGTTTCAGGGCTTCCTTGTCTCTGTACAATTACAGCGTTTCTTGAACTCCAAGGAATCAGTGACCCATCTCCAAAAGATTTCTAATCACCTCCCATGTCCATAGGATTCATAGAGGCCATAAAATTCCCAAGAGGATACAGCTCTCAAAGGGAAAAAAATACAGATAGAAACTAAACCTGTGAGAGCCACGTGAGGTGGTCATAACCAGCACTTTGCAGAACAAAGTGCCAGGAAGCAAATTTTTCCTTAGCAATCAACCTACAAAGATGCTGAAGTTAATTATAATAGCTATGATTCAATTGGAGTTTATTATGTACTATACCAACTTTAACCCAGTTTATCTAATGTGGTTATTGAAAGAGCCTATGGTGTAGGTTATTATTCAGCCAATTTTACAAATAAAGAGATAAAGACATTAGCAAATTGCTTGTGGTACCCAGCTGGTGAGTGGGACAGACAAGATTTAATCCCAGCAGTCTGAGTTCAGACTCCAAAGGTTAACCACTTAATCATCCTACTTTGAGAACTGTTCTCTCAGTAATTTATGAACAAAACAACCTGCAGGCTTAATAACAATATTCTTAAAATAAAACATGGGCATTGTCAAGCAGTCAGAGTGGATGGAGGACCCACAGAGGCCATTCATGGGACCCAGTGAGACGGTTCCGTCAGTGTCCTCGGGCAGAGCACGGGGCTGGGCGACCGACAGACAGCCTGCGGGCTCCCGCGGCTACTCGGTGATGTGCTTCCACAGGGAAACTCGCAGGTGTTCGCGTTCCATTCCAAAGGAAAGAATTCCCTTTAGTGTCACCACTAGACACACATTCGAAGTGGTTGCAGTTCATCTAACTGAAAGAGTACGATCCAGAAAGAGCAAAACTACAGAAGCAGCAACCCTGTCTAAATGAGGCTTTTCATAATTTATTTATTTATTTCTCCTTTTGCTGTAAAGACTCTAAAACGTCCACTTTCACCCAAAGAGATTTTAGAAAATGACTGATTTATGTCTAAGTATTAAAAAGGGAAGGCTCAGAAAGGGTATGATTTGCCCATCTGAATTGCAAGGTGGTGACTGAATATTCAGAGATGAGCTATTTATTCCGAATCTAGTAGACATTCAGTAGAGAGCCAATGAGTCTATTTAAAATAATCATACTATATTACATGAGATAAATGAAATTTGAAGAACTGTATTTCTGATCTACTTCTGTGTTTTTACATATGGAATTGTCATATAACTCTAGTTCATAATGGAGACACGCTCTGTAATTTATTGTAATTACAAATGACAAAGCAAATAAAAATACTGCTGAAATGAGCACATTAAAAAATTTCTGGAAAAAAAAAAATGCATGTTGAAATTACCTAACCTAAGTAAGATTGCATTTTACTCTCTTGAATAAAGTTAGGAAGTCTTGTCTAGAAACTATACTTTAATTTTAGGACCTCTTTTTCCTTAAACCGTCACTTAGAGGCAATATGCTCAAAGCAGGTGCTGCTCTGGCCTGTGACACACTCCGCACTGTTCATTCGGGGTGCAAAGCTGGGGCTGCCATGGGCCATCCCAGGAAGATGCGCCCACGCTGATAGGTCTGATGACAAGGTTTCTATCATTGAAACAACAACTGTGAGCTCAGGAATTGTGTTATCTGCTACTTTTTAGGAGCCATAACCTTAGGAAAAAATAGTTTCCAATAAATTAATAATGGTTTGAGACTCGGGGCGCTGCAGCAATTTTCACTGCAGTAGCTGTTTCTTTTATAGTCGCACTCGGTTCGTATTTGAAACTTGGAGGAATTGCAATATGCATGGTTTTCAAAGCCCTTTACAGAATTTCATTTTTATCACTCGAAGAGAGTCAATGAAAGGTAATAGAAAAGCTCTATGGGATATTTTTACAGGGGTGTCAGAAGCCAGTAAGCTAACTACATGAAAGACTACAGACTCTACAGACAGAGCTTCGGCAGCAACACTTCAGAGACTTCATGGCTAGTATTTTGACTTTTATATGTCCTTGGAGGAAGAGAGAGTGCTAGCTACCATACCAGACAAGGAGGGGAAAGAAACAAACCATCAGCTTAAGAATAATTACAGTTTCATTTTTCCTACAAACTGAGATGTAAAGTTTCAAAGATGAAGTGTGATAGATATTGTGTTGCTTTGGTGTGCCTAAAATAATTCCCTTGCTAACTCATCTCTCATTTCCACAATATGGAAGTTAGTCTCGGTGGCTTAATTGAAGGCTATCAACTTCTCCACAAGTCCATTTGTTCCTGTTTTCTTTCAGCAGAGATGAAAAATATCACATCACCCTCTCTATAAACAGCTATCATAATTCAGGTTTGCATTAGATTACTTATCTGACGCGTCTTCAAACTGAAACATCTCAATTACGTTAACCTCTTCTCACGCCATTTATCCTTCTTGTTAATTCTGGCAAACACTGAAAAATATCATTGGCGTGATAATACAAGCAGTCTTAAAATAAAGTACTTCCTTGGCCATGAAAACCATAAGTGAGAAAAATCTAATAAAGAACAATGCAGATATCTATCATTAGTGTGAGTGTTTACTAAGATGCTGCACTTAAAACTATATTCCAATGAGATCTGCAAGTCAGACAGTCACTGTGACTGAATTATAGACCCCAAACAAAGTACTAGTAGGAATCTGTATGTTGTACATTAGTCACATAGGTGTTTGAAACCAGTACGGTGTGGCTAGTGACCTGTGGTTCCTTCGGCTCCTGGTACTGCTGTTGGTCCACCGTTGCTTCTCTCTTTCTCCAGACCGGCCAGAGCATTCTGACAGCCACCTGGTTCTTTAGAATCCGGGTCAGCTTGACTGGGGTGCAGTTTCTTGGATATATCTACATGGAGACTCTGAAATGAGACAGGCCAGAGTGATTGATTTTGCAAGTAAATTATCAGTCCAAAATAAATGCTTCCCAGAGATATGACAAGGGTAAACATTTATCATATGGCAAGTTATTTCTTGTATCTGGAACAGAACATTCTGTGTGTCAAAGGGAGTTACAAATTATATTTTCATCAATATATTTTGGTAGCCTAGGTGTGGAATTTTTGTGGCAATCTAAGTGACTAGAATAAGAAGTCATCTCAGAAGGAGAAAATCATATCCAAAGGTCATTTGCATATTTTACTTTCTTCGTGTGAATCTTATAAATTGTTCTTCATTTAGAACATTTTCACTCAGTTTTATTCCTGTAGTAAATAATCCTGCATTTCTTTGTATATTGCATAATTACATACTATATAATGAAGAGATTTCATTTCTGTATAATTGTCATTCTTTATATAAAATAAATCATAATATCTGCTAAAAATAAATCACACTTGCATCAGTATTATGCAAACTTGAAAAAGCTCTTCCAGTCAATTTAAGAATAATAATTCATCATAACAATGAATTATTAAGGCATAACTTCAATAAACCCATAAACTCATCTCACATCTGAGAAGTCATACAGTGTTTGATCTTGTACTGGTTTACTGTATGCTTCAAAAAAAATCATCAGATAGGAGCACGAATTAAAGACTTATACAAGAAATTGAACTTTCAACATTATGTTTTATACCCAACTTCAGACCAGAAGTTTTTCAGTTTGAATGTAATGACAAAATATTTAAAAATTCATAACGTCAAAATTAGCCATTTTGGGTTATCCATAAAGTCATTTTGATTCACCAAAGGATAGCCTAATGAACAATTTTATTTAGGTTCCTCCTACAGATTGTGTACAGCATTAAATTCATAAAAGCTTCATTGAAAGCTTCAAGCAAAGGCTTTAAAGCTTAGAAAGGACCAAAAAAAAAAACATTAGGGTCCAGTATAATTACATGATTTGCCCAAATGAATAAAATAAACAGTGCTGAGCTTTGGGGAAAGGTCTCCTGACACTTAGTCCAGTGCTCCTCGTACCATCTACAATCCATTCGTTCATATGTTTATTCGATGTGGTAGGCTGCTTACCATTACCCCCCAATTCTGTACCCTTCTCTCTATCCCTGCCCTGTCCATGTAATTTTCCCAGTGCCCTCCCACTCTGACTTTTGACTTGTCCACGTGACCTCTTCTGGACCAATGGGATACTGGCACATTTAACACAGAGACTTGAAATGCACTTGCACAGTTGGCTTTTGTCATTCTTCTCCTTCCACTATGCCGTGAGAACAGGCCTGGACCAGCCTGCTGCTTGCTGCCATGACGGACAGCAGGCTCAGGTTACCTTAGTCATCCGGTTGAGACAACCTCAGCCACAGGAGCCCCAGACATCTGGGCAAACCCAGCCTAGATCAGCTGAAAATGACTCAGGTCAGCTGAACCCCGCAGCCTCATGAACTGGATAAGTGTTTTGAATGTATGCCATTACGTTTTTCTGGTGAGTAGGCAGCACTGTGTGGCGACAGATAATGAGTACATCAGCAACCATTTGTCTGTATTATCCCAGATAATGGCTGCAGTGTGAGAAAACAAATAAATGCATCCCATAGTCTCAGGCTCTGAATTGTTCAAACAGAATTTCTTAAATTGTTTAAACAGAGAATTAAAATACGTGTGGCACATCACTTGTAAATAATTCTCTAATTCTTTTCTAATGACAAAGGATGGGGTCCTGCTGACACTTGCATGAAAACTCAGCTCAGAGTGTGAATGCTGGCGTCAACTGGAACGAAAGCACCACGCGTATTCACGTTTCACTCGCGCGCAGTCCACAGAAGCATAAATCCATCACACATTCTGAATTTTTTAAATTTACTGTCAGGTCTGCATTACTACCTAGCTTTGGAAAGAAGCAGAGTCAACCAGCATCTAAGTACTTTCCTGATTTTAAATGAGATAACTTTGGGGAATATATCATTTTTTCAGGTTATTAGATGAGGATTAAATGATAGGTTCTCATTACTAAGCAATACGCTACACTAAAGAAGGAATTCACTTCTTGCTTTTTCGTATGAAACTGAATTGATAATATTAGTAAATTGAAGGGAAAATGTAAGCCCCTGTGAAGTATGTGTTATTCATAACCTATCCCGGACTTCAAAGGAAAAATGCCAAATTTAAACAAAGTCCTTAAACCTGTAATCTAAAGGCTTAAGGTTTGAAAGGCTGAGGGGAGAAAATGACTGTTTGATCAGAACAAGTCAAGTATTATAAAGGCCTGGTGCTGCCTGGCCAGTGTGGCTCAGTGACTGAGGGTCAACCCATGCACCAGGAGGTCACCAGTTCGATTCCCAGTCGGGGCACATGCCCAGGGTGTGGGCCAGGTCCCCAGTGAGTGGCATGCAGGAGGCGGCCAGTCGATGTTCTCTCTCATCGATGTTTCTCTCTCTCTCTCCCTCTCCCTTCCTCTCTCTCTACAATCAATTTAAAAAAAAAGTTATTTTTAAATAAATAAAAATAAAGGCCTGGTGCTTCTTGATGTAAACCTCTGGCAGATTGTACATTTTATAAGCATATTAGCATTTCAATAGTTAAAATCCCCCCACGCTGAGGTATCCTCTAGTCAAGCCCTGTCAGGTCTTCCAATCTCTTCTCTGCTTTCCTGTCACAGCCAGAGTCCTATTTTCTGGTCTTAATATAAAGAGAGAAATCACCGAACCTGCCACAATCTCTCAGCCTCGTTCACCTAATCAGTCTTCCCTCTGCTTCCTTGAATCTCTAAACCAGGTCCAGATACTGATTGTCTGTTGTAATAAAGCTCCCACAATACTCTCGATACTCTGTTCTTCATTGCCAAGTTGGACTCTTTAAGTCCCAATCTTTCTCTTTCTCTCTCTCTGTCCCCACTATTCTTACCTCTCAAATTCTTCCGTGGTTTACAAATTGCCCTTTGTACTCAACTTTCTTTCAGGACATTGTGTCTACCTTCCTAAAATTTTATTCTCCACTGAGGACAGCATTTGTGCTAGCAATTGCATCGTGATCTCTGTGCAAATAATCCCTGCTGCCTTGATATTTTTGTTGTCTAGCTATGCACCATTGCCCTTTTTGTTGATATCATCTACCTACTAATCTCTAGTAACAATCTATCCTTCATAAAAAGATTGGATGATTGTTTTACCTTCTAGCCCCATGATCCTGGATGATGTTCACATCTACACAAACATCACATTTAATACCCTGACTGGATTTCCTTATCACAGGTACACTTTCATTTCTCCATCTTAGCCTTTCTCTCCCAGAGTCACACCTGAGACCTGTCGTAACTAGAATCTTTTCCACTTCCAAAATTACTAAATATCTTTTCCTCTCACCTGCTCTCCTGTCCTCGAGTTTGTTGTTTTCACTCCAGCCAAAGCTCTTACCTTAAAGACTGTCGCCCCTTTCACCTCCCAATCAGGTCTATTCTTGGACCTCCCTGGGAACAGAGATCCACTGGTACCTCTACTTTCTCTACACCTACCAGCCCTCTGCGCTCTTCTCCCTTCCTTCTCTACACAGCATCCCCCCCAGTCGTAAAACTGGATGTCAGACATCACCTTTTTTACCTCGCTGCAGCTTTTGATATGTCTTGTTCCCTTCCTGCTTCTGGTGTCCTTCCGACCACTCTGACCACTAATTCTTGGTTTTCATGGACTGTGAAGTGTTTCTTAAGGTTTTGCTATTGATCTAGTTTTTTTTTTTAAATCATCCCTAGATAATTCCAACAATTATATGACTTAATTTAACATCTATGTATTTATGACTCAGGAGAAGAGCGAGAATTATGAAATAAGATGAGGCAGAGCTTGTATAACATGATAAACACTCTGGCTCCAACTCTAATGTCTTTTAGTTTTACAGTCCAATCATGCTTCCTTCCTGACTTACGGCTTGGCTATTTCATTTACCTAGAACATTATTACAGACTTTTCCTCCTTAGTTTTACTAAGTCTTGAGTTCCTTCAAGTTTTTACTCACCATGTAGACTTGAGCCAGTACCTTTGTTTTCTAGTCTTGGAGCTCCTTATACCTGTACTGCAAAGCATTTTCACAAATACAATAAAATAATACCTGGTTTACTGTTTAGTGACTATCTCTCTGGTTAAAAATATAAACAAACTAGAATAAGGACTATGTCTATCCTATTCACTGTTCTCAGTCCTCATCTCAATGTTTTAACTATTTTAGGTATCAAATAACTACATAGGAAATAAATGGAGAAATGCTTGAATAAAATATAGACTCAATTTTTACAACTTTTTCTTTGGCTAGCTTAACAATGGCCATTACATATTCATATGTTTAAATGTGATATCCAGTCACCCCTAACAAAAATCCTTATTATATAATTGAAAGGCACACATGTTTTAATTTATTTCATTCATAAAAAACATATATTATAAATCTTTTGTTTTAAAATAAATTCATTGACGCAATCGTTGCAAATACTACAGTTATATAATATTCCATACATTTGTTCATTTGTTTGGTTCAAGTTAGAGTTAGGTTAGTCACTATATATATATATATATATATATACATATATATATATATATACACACACACTATATACTATATATATGTGTATATATATAAAATAAATCAAAGATTGGTTATGTCGAGAAAGTGAGAGCCTGAGAACTGAGGGTGTATATACAGTGCCCCCACATTCCTGAGGCACAGATTGTAGCCCGACAATAATGAAAGAAATAAAACTCTCTGTCAGGCAATGCTTCAAAGATGTCAAGCCTTCAACTTGAAGATCAAGTACAGAAGAAAATGAGAAAACTAAAATGTGTGCAAAGAATAAAGAGGAACATAGATAAATTTGAACTGGCATGCATCAGTTCTTTGTGACCACACTATGGTTGTACTTTAAAAATAAATCCTGTTTATTTTGTGTAAATTCCATTTAACTTGTCGTTAGAAATGAGTC